CAAATAGAATAGAAATGCATTTAAAATCAATAAAGCAATGCGGTAAAACTAAGCTTATAGAGATTGAGAGGAAATGGTGACTACATAGGATAAAACCAAATCTTAACGATATAGCGAAAATTTAAAAGAAGTCTAGCAGTGAATTTGAAGTTGAGAAAATTGGTTTTCCCAGATTTGCCGAATAAATCAATGACAAGCAGTATATAAGGGAGGTTAATTGACCTTGTTTTCGCAACGTGGTGATAATGGTAGGAAGACTTAGAGGAATGCACCTTTTCCGGATGATCATTCCCAGACCTTTCGCCGGCATCGTCAGTGAGTCTTGCCAGCACAACACTACAACTCGTAAAAGAGAACGTTGAGGCCGATCCTTGGACCAAACATGTGCTAAACAGTTGCGGTATCTCTCCTTCTGCCCTGGTCCATTCACATTTCCTATATGACGCCTTCACTACAACAATTTGTTTCCGTGCTTATTTAAATCTAGTGTAGTGTGCCCTTTTGAGCGGCTTTCATGAGAACCCTCCACACTTCACGCTAGCGTTCTCATCCCCCTTCATCATTGTACTGAGAATGCTGATCAGAGTCTGCCATAGTGTTACACAGTCTTCCTTCCATAGGTCTTATCACAGTCTCTATCCTTCCCCGTAGAATCCGTCTGCTAACCTCCTGGTACAAGTATTTTACTCGACCTCTGCCACCCCATCTGTGCTACTCAACGCGTTATTTCCCACACTCTGCGTTTGAGTTACTAATTCGAGGCTAAAGCCTCTAAGTAAGTCTCATGATCAAGCCTTTGCTACATGGACCACGCCTCTGGTAAAACCTGCTGTCAACCGACAAGCTCCAGTCTCCGCCGCGTCTATCCTGTTTCTATCCCTAATATCAAGTCTATGACTTGCTATGCCCTAGTCTCTTATGCGTCAATCCCCAAATGTTGTGATACTGCATGCTTTGATTAGGTTCAATGTTAAACCACATCGTTTATGGATTGACAAATAAGAGACTAGGGCATAGCAAGTCATAGACTTGGTATTAGGGATAGAAACAGGATAGACACGGCGGAGACTGGAGCTAGTTGGATGACAGTAGGTTTTACCAAAGGCGTGGTACATGTAGCAAAGGCTTGACAATGTGACTTACTCAGAGTCTTTAGCCTCGAATTAGTAACTCAGACGCAGAGTGTGGGAAATAACGCGTTGAATAGCACAGATGGGGTGGTAGAGATCGAGTAAAATACTTGTACCAGGGCGCTAGCAGACGGATTCTACAGGGAAAGAGGAAGACTGTGATTAGGCCTGTGAAAGGAGGACTGTGTAACAATATGGCACTCTGATCAACATTCCCAGTACAATGGTGAAAGGGGTAAGAATGCCAGCGTGGAGTGTGGAGGGTTCTCATTAAAGCCGATCAAAGATGCGTCCAACTAAATCGCCCTGACAAAACGATCCGAATTTCAAAGCGAGGTCAAACAACTTCCTATATTTACCAAATTACAATAACATTTGAAAATGAAAAATCTAAGTATTCACAAATTTGTTTGCATATGCTAGGGAGTTTGGAAACGAATAATGTTTACCGTCTTAGTAGTGCAAAAGTATGACTGATTGTCTTTCGTCCAGCAAAAAGGAGAGCCGAGACAAAGACCTCGATAGGGAGACTAGTAATTCCAGGTAGCAGTATAAGTGGTTCGTTCATTCGATCAGCCAACATCCCTCTGCCAGCAATGGACCGACAGGATCGCCTAGAAGAGCCTAGTAAATGCATTCGTCCAGAAGACCGACCAACTTCGGGGGAGGCCCCAGGATCGTGTTCATATGTATCTGAGCCAACAAGGCCATTCCTAGAATTTGAGTTGCCGTTTTTAGGAGAATCTGTAGTGAATGGGCTACCAGCCTAAGAATAAGATGTGAAAAATGTGTAGAATATAGATAAATAAAAAGTACTAATTGTTTTCTAAAATATAGGTAGGTTCTCAAAGGTCAAATGACTATAAAAAGTGAAATCTTGAAGAACAAACGACTAAACAATTTAAAAAAACATATGAAGAAAATGCGGGCTTAGAAGACGACATTGTTGTGGAGACTTACATTTCATACGAAATTGCAATATAAAGAGATTCATAGGTCGATCTCACTACAACACGACAGTCGATTTTCAATTTAGAACAGCCGTTTGGCTTGAATACACGTAGAAGATGACGCAGTTCATCCTTGCCGTCATGCCTTACTTCCAAGATAAGAAGACTAATGAGAAAGTGAATTATATAAAGAGTCTTCAAAGAAGCTTTGATACTTTCTTCGATTATATCTAGCTTTAGAGAGAAAAAATAGCCTTTGTAAAGAATTGGTTGTTACAAGATTTTGTGCCCTTGTGGTCGACGTACATATCCGAAAAATACCCATACACACTGAAAACCTATCTGTGGCGCACCAATACATTTATAAAAGCACTTCGAATAGAGCATAATGGCCTTTAAGTTCCTAGCCTACGTCCCATACGTGGATCCACACCTCACCCAAGAAATATAAGTGTCCGTTCTCTTCCTCATCCATGTCGTTTAAAAAGATAAGGAAATCG